AAATGTCTGTCAGACACCATTATGGATAAGGTAAAATACAAAAGCCAAGTGGCTGTAGCTGCCAATTTTTTCCCCACCTCAGCGTTTTCACTTTTGTACGACGATTGTTCTTGACTCACCCACAACAACCACCTGGAGGGTTACAATGCCTCAATCAAGAGTGGTAAGCTTCACTGCGCTCCCTGTAGTTTTCAATTTCCTGTCACTATTCATTGTTAACGTTTTCTGGTTTGGAGTTAGTTTCGTAGACCCTAAAGAGTTTCATTCAAATTCATTCTACCATCCTAAGCCATTAAGCAAGGACCTTTTCTGATTGACATCAACAGAAATCTTACCCTCACCAAGATAAACAACTCTCTCATAAATATCACTGCATGAGTCCGTCCTACTCTCATGAAACTCTAATTGCATGCATCACTGTAATCACCTGAGCTCCGCAGACTAAGAGCTTAGAATTTGTCCTTGAAACGCAACTCACAAGGTGTTGTCTGATGAAACGTGATGGCAAACGTCGAGAATCTATCGCTTTAATAGGTTGCTTAAGCTAGCCTCCAGTGAGTAAACAAAACCTATGTATTTTCTTTGCAATAGCTTAAACAAGGAACTTTAATTGCCTTACATTGTAAGATTCCGACCTTCCCCACTTGGCATGGATCACCAACCAATCGGAGCCACACGAGATGGTAGATCACTGACAGCAATTACCTTTTCTGTATTTTCACCATCTTACTTCAGTAGAAAAAGCGATATTGCTAGGCTCCTGCGAAGCCCACCATTGCAATTTTTTTGGGACGACAAGAGAACCCCAACAATAGCATCGAGTTTCAATCTGACCATTTGCAGCACCATAAGTCAACCACGCACTTAAAAGCAGTTGATTTAAAATTTTCTCATGCTACATCTTCAGCATTCTGTTTCGCAGTTGGCTCACGAACCGGCGCACAAGGCTTGAACATCTCGCATAGTATTTATCGCTCTGTCGTCCTTCTAGTTCAATGGCAAAAGCAACAACGTTCTGGCATGAGAAAGCCTATGACTGGTGGAGTCACTTCATTTAATGTCTCTTGGGATAGATAGACTTTAATGTCGATGGGTACTATGGCTACCAACTATAATGCATAATGGTAGCGAAATTTCGCTGGAGGCGGCTAAATAATACCTATGCAGACTGCTGCGGCAGAGACAAGGGACTGCTAAAAAAATCACCAAGAGCGGTTGAGAACGAGATCTAGTAACTAAAGGCTGAAAGATGTTGGGACACGAACCATTAGAAAATTAAGGCAAGAGCATTAGTGGTATCAAATGCGGCAAAGAATTTGTTTATATCGGCTATAAAGATCTTGGTAATCGACATTAATTGGACTTCAGTGTTGAGGTCATTCTTGTTGGCAGCCTGTTCTACCGTAGCCCTAAAAATGGTGGGCAAGGCTGTACACAAGCGAACATCAGGACCATAAAATAGCCAAACATTTGTGCCGATCGCGTCAGCCTCCACCGGCAGGCTTGAAAGTACCGCCTGAGGTCCGATGCCCGGATAAAGGCCTGTCCAGCTCATTGGGAGAATAGTTAAAGAGCAGTACTTTTTAGGCGTCAACTCCAGTTCCTAAACACCTTTGCAGATTCCATGAGACTCATCAAATCTTGTACGGACCCCATACGCAGGAGGGAACATCTAGCGAAAGCATTGCTTGTATGCAGCAGAAAACAAGAAGTAATTGTATAAATTCACATTTGAAGGACATTTGCATTTGTGAAATATTACTTTAAGCTTAGACTTCCATCATTTTTACTAGTTTAAGCGGGACTTGAGAAAGGCGTTATTACTTTCCACTCTTGGTCCAATCAGTATGAAAGTGATTGATGAAACTGCGAAATAACCAAACATGGCTGGCCTACAAAAGAGCGGTGTCTAAAGCATTCGTTTTTGCGGTTATTGGTACAGGGGGAGCAACAAACAGACCTAAAAATTCCTAGCTAAAATTAAGTCAGGAGTGTGCGTAAAGAGTTGATCATGGAATCATTTTGGCAATGACATGGCATTAAGGGAAGCACTCCGCAGAATTGGGAAGGGTGTGTGCCAACCCTCTTGCAGATTCTGCAACCTGACACCGCCTTACGGTGGTGTGGCAAATTTAGCGAAATTAGTCTGCTAGTCGACTTGCACTAACTACAATAGTATTTAAAAATTACCAAAACGAGGAGGAATTATGTGTTTTCTGATCGAAAAAATCTGAGGTTTGAGGTGTAAAAAAAATGAATTTTCGAAGACGTGGCATGCTGCACTTTTTAGAGAATGCGTTAAGGAATCGCAATAAACACAAAGCCAAACGATGACCACCCCACAAATCGAGCGACTTTTACCTAAGTGGCTTGTTATTCACAGCGTATGCCAAAACTGTTATCAAATACGTGTTTATCTCGGGGTTGTGTAAATCTGACAAAAATTCAAACTGCAATCGAGGTTTTTTGAAAATGAGGATACCAAAGGACATTAACA